GGATGACTGAGTAAGGATACGTGATGATATGTAGGGGGTACCTGCCAGTACTATGTTGGTGTGGAGTGATGGGGTGGGTGGGGCACCCGATCATTCTATGGTGGTGCCGGCCGGTAGTGTGGAGGGGTGGGATCAATTCGGGGGGGGTGGGGATCCATCCGTCGCAGGCGGGGGTCAACCTACGGCAGGGAGAGAGGGTCAGGTAGCTCTCTCCTTTCCTTCCAGGCCCAATGGACAGCAATGAGTCTCTCCACCATCTCAAATAACCGGTCAACACCTCTCTAAGCGAACCCTCTCGGGCTGCTCGATTTAGTAAGGGTTTTCCTCTCCTCATCTATCTGTACCTGCATTTCACAAGGAATGGTTGGGTGACAATTCATTACTTTTGGTGTTTTCTAAGGGTTTTGTGTAAGGAATGGGTCCAAAAAACGCGGCTCTGATACCAACTATAACGATCCCGGAATGTCCAAAGAAATAAATTGTAACTTAAGTACGGAAGCGAAATAAATAATTAAGATTTATATTCCTAACACATAAACTCAAAGTCCCAAATAGTTGTACGAAAATTAACATTTTGAAGGAAATACAAACAAAATAAGGAAATAAATGGAAAATAAATAAAACTGGTATTCTACTCGCAACCCTCTTGTGGATCGGGCTCTAGATCCTGATCCTCTTGATCTGAAATGGTTAAATAAGGAATGAGCTACACTATACCAGTAAGAATATGACGCTACTCACCGACACATAAATAAAGGTTGGTAGAAAATCAAGACAACTTATGAAGCACTTAATAAGTTGTCTTGATTTTCTTATTAATAATAAAACCATTTACCATCAACTTATTGCAGCAAGATTTATAAAAGCAACTAATAGAGGCAATAACATAACACTTATCATGATTCCATATACAATTGGTAACAGACACATATTATAAATCCATATTTAATAAATCAAACAACAACCTTTTCTTTTATCGGTCTACTAGTATCCATGGAGGTTCATAGGGATGTCCCCACTACGCGTGAACCCTTTAATTCAATATTCTCAATTAAAAGACCGTCCCTATACCTCGTTCGGTATGAGTGTCAAACCACTAAATCTCAATACCCCGTCCGGTATGAGGTGAAACAGGCCATCCCCATACCCCATCCGGTATAGTGCCAAATTACCAAGTCTCGA